TATATATATATATGTATGTATGTATGCATGTATGTGTCACATTTCATGTAGCACACATTATCACTCCTCTGCTGGTCTGATTAGTGTCACCTTCTTCATACAGGTGTGACATTAGTGACTGTTCGTTTTTCGTTTATTGCTCACTCAGACAATTCTCCTCTGCAATACTGTCAACATTGTATTATTTCATCGCTACCATACTATATTATGTTTTCACCAATGCAGTATGCTATATTCTCAAAATATTTAATTTTTAAACGATTACATTAAATGTACAAATAGGATATACACTAAATCTGAATAGTTATTATTTATAACTTTCAGTGGTTAAACTATAAAAAGGATGGAGAAATATGAACTAATACAGTGGGTATATCATTATATGGAATAGATTAGTTCACTGTGATGAAAAAATTGCCACTAAAAAAGAAATCTTTTATATTTCAATTTTGTTACAAAAAAGATATTTTAATAATGAGTGAAAGAAATTTATTTGTATAAATTTTTCATTCGAGATATTTGGAGTGAATAGAGCGTCAGTTTTGATATTTTTCGAAGAAAATGAGTGCAGAGAACAAAACTGATGAGTTCAGTTGAGGACATGATGACATCTTCTGACAACTGTTTGTAATTGTGTTTAAGCGAGAAGCCGCAGTTTTTTCTTTTGGTAAGTGAGAAGGCATCGTCGATAGGCTTCTTTGAGTTCGGTGAAGTATTCTTTTTTTCTTTTTTTTTGGAATTGAGATTTTTTTTTCCTTTTTTTAGGCATAAATAGACAAGAGGAATAGATGAATAGATAGATGCTTCATTCCTGTTTATACCGAATATCTGTTGAGTTATATTAGAGTTTTTGACTCTTCTTTTCATCTAAAGGAAAGAAGAGAGAAGCATAATTATGTTCTCAATAAATTACTACTGACAAGTGGTGAACATTTCAGTGAGATAGAAGAGACAAGATTGAAGCATTTTTTGGTTAGAATCGGATAAGCTCCCCTTCAGGGAAAAAAGACATAATATTCAGGAACTGGCGACATGGGTGATTTATCGGTGCAGCCCTGAACATGCTATTCTTGAGCGGAGGTGACAATATGAACTATTTCTACACCACTTTTCAGAATTATATCCCCATCAGAATCTAATCTATTCATCCGTAGACGATCTATCGTAAATTTTTAATTAAAAATTTGTTTTATAATTTTTATCGAACGGCTAATACTCTTTTCCCTATCATTTCTGCAATGCTCGATGACATTTAAGTGTCAAGCAAATGACTGTTGAGATTTTTTACCCGTTGAATTTGTTATCTTCAAGATTATGTAAGTTTCTTCATTCGTTGCTGGGCAATGTTCGCTATGCTTAATTCTAAAATATGAAGAAAACATAAATTAAAAGTAGTATATGAAGGAATTTTTCAGAAAGATAGAATATGTCACCAATTCTATTAAACATTCACTTTTAAAATGCAGATTTCAAACAGTATTACGATGTCATTCATTTAGATATATGGTGTGGACATAGGCTTAACGAAGAGCCAAGGCTTAAATAAGTGTCAAAATGAATTGGTGCTTCCTAGAACATGGATTCCAATATAACAACAATAGAAGCGTTGAAATAATCCATGAATTTATACTCTGACATTCGTATGAAAATAGTCCTTTCAATAATGCAATATTTTCTGTTAAAATAATGCTTTAACAGTGTAAAATATTTGTTAGTAATGGGAAAATCGAATTAAATGCAATTGCTGCTTCAAATTATATAACTAACATTTTTTATTTGTTCAAAATTCGAGATAAAGCTTTTATTTGGGTGTGAAATTAAAATATCAGTAATTGAGTGAATGAAAAAAAAAATTTGATTGTCTTCCTCGTTTTTTCTCATAATTTTTGTTTTTTTTGTGATAGAAATAACAGAGTGGTTTTTATAAATGCGGGAATATTTATTTCAAATATATACTTGAAGTTAAATGAAAGTCATCGTTTGAGACAGTATTTTGAAGGGTAAATTTTATTTTAACTTTACAGCATTGTAGGCTACTTCGTGTTCTTTCTACTGTTCTACATCTTAAAAAAAAATCCTAAAATAGGTCATAAATTTTGAAGATTCAGAATGTTTGTATTGATGCGCACAGCAAGAAGTTTTTTTCTATGGAAGGGAAAAATAAGTGTATTATACAATTGAATTTTTATTATAAATTGTGTCAAAAGTTAGAATTTAACATGTATCATTTATACATTTCGTTATTTCAAAAATCGGCATTGATGAAAGTAAATTGCTTCTGTTGCTGATGGCGGTGATGGTAGTGATGGTGGTACTGAAACGATGTGATGAGACAATCACATCAATTTTCAAGAGCAATTCGATGTGCTTCAACAAACGAGCCTTTGAAAGATGTTATTTTCATGTTATTTTCAACAACAAAATTGCTTAGTGACACTATCTGTCCTGATGTATATGAATATCATCACGTGGTGGCTACAAGCATTATCATTTATAATCCTTCCCTTGTTTCCTATATTCCTATTATTTTCATATATTTTACTATCTCTAGCCCTTATTTTTCCTTTTTTTTTCTAAATTTTATTTTCATATGACAGATCCATGAACACGCAATATGTTACCAGTTTGAGCGCATATTTATTTCTTTCATTTAATTATAATCAAACAAATGCTTTTACCTATCCGCTTTTGATTGAATTTTTATGGGACATAAATTATTGAGAAAAAATAATATTCACATAAGATTAAATTGCATTCTGTTTGAATATTCTGCGTGTTCAATTATGATCACAGCCGGATCCAAATAACTTTCCAGAATTTCTTAATAAGATCCAGTACATAACCTTTATATTTTAATTTGCAATAGTTTGCTAGCTACAATCTTTTCAGGATTAGATAAAAAATCTTTTGATAATAAACATTCCTTAATAAATATATTTATTAAGGGGGATGTTTAAACGTGTTTCCTATCTGGCACGATCATTTCTTTCTTTTTATTTCTAAAACTGTGTGTGATTTTTGCTCTCTAGCGATTGATAATTAATTATGCTTAATTAAATGTTTAATGGTAAATACTAATTGTTGGTACAAAGGATAGAATTACGCAAAATGCAATGAATTTTTCGATTGTTGACGCTCCGTGATATGAAAAATTTGTTTTCCAGAGAAAGATATTAACGTCCAATCGAAAAGATGCTTAAAAATTTGCCAGTATTTGATCGTTTTACTTTAAACTTACTGAAAACCATCTAATGACTCACTCTTGCAAAAGCACGTCCATTTAAATTTTGTGAAGGTTTTATTAATACGACTATTAGTATGGATGCTATGTTGGCTTGATTTATTTAATATAAAAAAGGTCATCCGTTTTATTCTTGGATGTAACTTGGAATATTTTTTCAACGTTAGTATTATGGCCTTCGAGTAATTACAAGATGGAAAAGCGTTAATTCGTTCTACTTTCTGTTATGAGTTTGGAATAGTTGCATTCGAATACTTATGGATGTAAATTTAGAAGTACTGCAAGAAATACTGTTTACTTATCATAATTAATTTGTCCATTCTTCGTTATTGCCTTCGTTAATATAAGCCTGGACGTTTACATCTTATAAGTGATTTTCTTTTAAAGCTATTGTCTGATTATATTTCGTGGATTTTTTTGGAAAGCAGTGCAATGAAAGGAAGTATGAACCGTAATTTGAAAGTAGCTTGCAGAATGGAAATGAAAATGAAGCAGTACAAATTTTCGGCGATGTATTTGGCGCAATCGGAGAAAAGACGAAGCGCTTTTAAAGTAAAATAATTGAATGCAATTTTTAAGAAAATGTATGTGTTGTTGGTGATTACCTGTTCTTATCTTAGTGTTGTTCCCTGCTTGCAATAATGGTATCATTGTCGATTTGTTATCTTTGTGCATCATACTAGTTTTTAGTATTTTTTAATTTATAAAGATTAAATTGCAATCGCTTAATTACCGATCTTTGAAATGAAGCTAGAAGATATGTACCAAAATGTAAATGTTTGAAAACAAAATAAGATTTCAATCCCTTGAATACCATCGACAGATTACAAGTCTCTTTTTTTTGTAATCTACCTTTTATTTTCTTTTTAAAGCCGTTCTATTTACTTTCCTAAGAGTCAAGGAATTTCTGTCCTGAATTATTTATACATTATAACTTTTAGAAGTAAATGTGCTTTATTATAGTTAATTGTCGTTGAGATAGCTTTGCATTGCATTCTTTCTCGCTATAATTACTTAAAAATTAGTAATTTTAAAGAATTTAAAAGATGTGCAATGTTTGTACTGTGGCTAGTTTACTCCTGATACAGTCATCATTCCCTCCATGTATCATTCATGGTGGAATAGGAATTTAATGAAATATATTGATTGTTTCAGGATGTTAAGACAGGTAAACCTCTGAATAGTTGGATGTGTGCTAATGTGCAATGTGAATTACAACTTATGGATCGTTTCACGGGTATCACTTCCTGTGCCGATTTGGTTGATCCACTTCGTCGATCATTGATTCCGTCGTTTTTGCATAGTTGGCCAGCTTTTGTAGGATTTCCACCACCAATGTTGAATGTTTCGCAAGGATCAGTTGCCGATATGCTTTTGCGACCTTGTGGGCATTTTAATTATTTTTCACATCATTTTGTTTTTCTCAATTTACGATAAGCAATTAAAGTCAAAATGAAACGTTGCGTTGTTTATATTATATCTTCAGAAAATGATCTTGTAAGATCTTAAGAAATTGCATGTGCTGTTCTGTGAAAGTTAGATTTAGTAAACGAATGCAAATAATCGTTTAATATTAATTTTATTCTGTTTAAATACAAAAAAACCAAATAGCGAAAATTCTTAAGATTTTAAGACGTTTTTAATGGACATTTTTTAAGCATAGTTGTTTATGGAAGATAGACATGCTGCTATTATTGTTGTTGTTGTTGTTGCTATTATTCGTAATTCTCCAGCGTAAATTTTTGTTGTTATAAGCTATTATATTTTTGAATTACTATCACTTTAATCACTGAATTGAAAGTGCTGCAAATTTTCGTCTGAGCTCTATCCTAAATAATATATTTCGAGTTCATTGTATCACTTCAAAAATTCAAAATATAATTGTGATCTTGACTGATGTCATCCATTTAATTATTTAAAGTTTAAGGTTCTCGAGTATCGGAATCAACAAGTGGATGTGAAGCATCCGCAAGTGATGAGCATGTTTCATCAGAGATGGTTGCTGATGAAATCGATGAAATTGTCGGAAAGGATGTAGTGCATTTGCAACAACAGCACCAACAACAGCACCAACAACAGCAGCAACAACAACAGCAACAACAACAGCAACAACAACA